GGGGGGGGGGGGGCAAGGGGCAGAAGACATCACTGCCATCCGGCAGCTGGTTAAGCCCAGTGTCAGGAGGCAGAGAGAGACATCAAACCCTCAAATGGCCGCCCAGAGGACAGGGCCCCGCTGAGAGGTGAAGGCCAGACGGCCAAGGACAGGCAGAGCCAGCACCCCTCTGGGCGAGGAGGGCACGAAGTGGGGTACACACAGTGCAAACAGATAAATATGAGCTGTTGGGGTGTTGGGGGAGAGACAGACCATCCAAATCAGTGCAAGGTTTGCAGAGCCTCCGCCTGCTGTTCTTGCTGTCCTGTTTCACGTGGTTCCCATCCTCTGGGATGCCAGTGGGGTCAGCACCTGGGACTTGTACCGGTCCCTTTCCCCTCTCCCCCAGCCTGCAGAACAGCGTTGGGATCAGGAAAAGGCTCAGACCAGCTCCCCACATCTACATCTCAGACTCCCCTCCCAGCCCGAGGTGACTGCCTCCGCATTCCCCTTCTGAAGCCTATTTTAATTTAAAGAGCACAATTAAATTTTAAAATTGCAAATATTTCACTGTTTTCTCTCAACCGTTAAATCAATATTTGAAGAGAACAGTGAATGCCATCTCCCTTAGAAAATTCATGTATTTATAATACATTGAACCAAAGAGAGAAGCTACCAAAAATGGATAACAGGGTGAAAAGTTGAGCTTGAATCTTTAAGAAAAGGGAGGGAGGAGGAGAGACAAAGATATAGAAACTCTTTTAAAATACTTCCTTCCCACAGAGGGTTTCTTAACATATCCCGACTGACCTGGCCACAGGCAGTCTCACCTAGTCAGGACTTCAGGCCGTGTCTTCTGCAGGATGTTGTGCTCCAGGCTGAGGTGGGACACAGCAGGCTGGGCAGTGTACTGGGGCCAGGTCTCGCTGCAAGGAAGAGCATCCTCCATGCTCCCAGGGTTTTCTATGAGGACCACCAGCACAGTGGCTCCTGTGTCATCCCTTCGATACTCCAGGAGGCAGAGGCGTGACACTAATTCAGCTGTGAGGCTGCTCTGGAGTTATATAGAAAGGGTTTTTCCTTTGACTGTTACTTGGTCCTTCATACAGAAAACCAGGGAATGGGTTCATCTCTGCACCATCAAACTAAGTGCAGTACAAGACTGTGGAGGCAGTAGCATAGAAAAAGGACTCACCAGGGACAGGGGATGTGTCTGATCTCTACAGACTTCTTATCGTGAGGATCATATTCTCAATTACTTGTAGAGTGTGCTAGCCAGCACGTCTCAGCTACTCCCTTGCCAGCTGGCTAAAGGAGATCCAGGGCCTTTCTTCCCAACCGGTACATGAGGCCTTCTCACAGTCCCCAGTCTAATGCTGGGCCTAAACACATTTTCTCTGATTCAAATTTCCAATTTTTTGAGACCCTGTATTCAATGTCCCTAATTGTGTCTTGCAGGTTATCTTCAAAGAAGAGAAGACACAGGTAAGAGTTGAGAAAGTGTGGGTCGTCCCTTAGAAATATGAGTTTAATGGTCTCTTCAAGATGTCACGAGGTTGATGTTCACTGGGTTGGGGAAGAAGTCCCTTTTTTTCTGTGTCTCTTTGTGGAATCCCCCTGAGTCCCCCCATTCCCTATGGGTCTGGGGCTACCCTCTCCTTATTCAGCCTTATGCATTCCTCAGACCCCACAGGAATCAGGTCTCCAGCCCAACCTGTGCAAGCAAGCACACAACTGGAAAAGGCTTCTTGCTATAACCTAGCCCCTGGCAACCTTATCCATGTTGCTTCCATCCTGCATCTTGAGACTCCAGTTCTCTTATGGTTTTATTTGCAAACACTATGACATCCCCCAGCAGTGCCCATCTTTGAAACAGTCAGTGCCTTTCCAGGTGTGTACTGGAATGCTATAATCAGACAAAGCCAATTTTTATAAAAAAAATATATAGTTTATTTGGGTTCAATCGATTTAGGGTGGGAAGCAATAGGCAAAGCAACTCACCTGATTCTAGTATGTGTGTGTACAGTATTAACAAGTATTCATCTTCTCTATGGGAAAACACAAAGTCACCAGGATGGCTGATCCCTTTGAGAATCCTTGGCCAAGCCCATGAGCCAGACTTGTCAGCAGGCACTCAAACCCCTCTGTGCTGTGGCAGAATCATTAATCCCTTTCATTTTTATTGCACGCTCTTGGGTAATCTAGCTGAAACATTGATGTGTTATTGTGCAGCTTTTTATCAGAACAGAAATCTCCGAATTAATTAGCCATTTCTTATTTAGTTCTTCAAGCCCCAAAAGTAAGAGAAAGGAAGAAAGAAAACACAAAAAACAGTAAGTAGCAATTCATGGAGTTCCCTGCCCTGCCTGTGCAGAGCTGTGGGGCTAGGAAGTGCTTGATGTGGTGGGTCCCCTGGAGCTAACACCGGCTGCACAGCCCTAAGCAATTCTCAGGATTATTTCACAGCTAAAACCAGCAATTCTGGTTTTGCTGGAATGGAAAAAAGGTTTGTAGAGGCTGGAGATCTTTCCTCTCTCTCTTTTGTGCCACCTCATTCAGTACTTTCTTTGTATTTTACAGTGTCTTGTTCATCCAGTCCTGAGCAGAGACACCAGTTTTTCTGATGAGGGCAGCATGAGAGGATGAACTCAGATGTGCAGAGTGCAGTGCCCCACAGCCTCCACTGCCCTAAGGGCTGGCTGGCACACTTAATGAGAAAGGGCCTTAGCTCCTCCTTGCTTGCTGCTCTCAGAGGAGGTTACAGTAGGGGCTACTCACGACATACAGCACAGCTGAATGGGAGCAGACGGCAAAGGGGACTAGAGAAGAGAAGGGATTGTTTAGAGTGATGGAGGTTGTAAAATTCTGGGACTGAGGTTCCCATCTGTCCTGGAGTGTTAGCAGAGCACAAGCTTTGTACTATGTTACAGACACAGTGAAGGGGTGTGGTACAAAATGTGGTTGCTCAGGGCTGGAAGGAAGGCCTGTAAGTCTTCTCTGTTTTTGACTTCTCTGTCTTCTCCTGGGAATTGCAACTTGCAGCTTCTTACCTGCTTTCAGAGCAAGGAAACAGTTCTGGGGCTGAACCCTGGGCACCAAACCTCTGCTTGGCCTTGCTGGGACTTGAATACCCTGCTAGAGATAGAAACTAGGCTGGCAGATGGAAATCTACTGGTTTGTTTGGTATTAGTAGGACCTAGCCTTTAATTCTTCCCAACACAACTTTTAGCTCTTAGACAAATAGGAGATGGGGGGACAGCAGCCCCTGACACTGCCAGGTCACCCCAGTACGCACTGGGACTGAAGAGATTGGGAATCCACAAGCTGCAGGGCATTGTGCTGCCTGCACAGGACATCTCTATTGCATGCAGAAAACCCTGCATGCAGAAAATCTTTTCTCTGTTATTTCTGCATGTTCAGCAGCACTGCCACTTTTTTTTTTTTTTCCTCAAACTGGGCTTCTATGCACCTAGAAATCTCTGCTTCCTCAATAATCAATAAAAGCAGGCATCTGTCCAATCCAGAGCAGCACTGGCCAGTACGCAGTAGCTGAAGAGTGTGATTAAAATGAAGATCAGGTGTCCTGCCTGACCTAGGGGAATGAGAGCTGCTAGAATTGCTCTTTAGGGATAAATCAGCCAAGGCGTTTTAACCCTCATCTTTCAGCTCACAAATCAGGGCTGAGCCACTCCGTTTTCTGCAAACCGTCTTATGCTCCAGGGTGTGGATCAGATAGATCCCTTGAGCCATCTGGGATCAGGATTTTTGTATAATCACATGGCTTTGGCTTATCTTTGTGTTGAGCAACTGGTTATCTAAATCACACAGGACCAGTTTTTCCTCTTGCAGAAAGGGAAAACTCTTAAACTGGAGGGACTGATGCAGAAAGTGAAGAGCAAATATGGGGATTTTCACACAAATCCACCATGTGAGGAAGAGATGTTCAGTGTTGCTGATTTCAGCTGTATGGAAATAAGGAAGGAGGATCCCAAAATGTGACGTTTTTAAAAATATAATCATAGGGTGTGAAAAGCATCAGAGAAAACAGCCAGGCGGAGTTCAAGTAATTACCCTGGAGGTCTTAAAGGAGATGCTGTTCTCAAGCAATTGATTTGTTGAATTTTTATAGTGGCGAATTGCTAAATGCTGTCCAAGCAGGTCGTATTAGTGCTGTCAGTGACTGGTACAGTGTCGCCATGAAACCAGACTGTCCCCATCATTAGCTTTGCCTGCTGGCACAGCAATGCCAGCCTGAGCAGATGGTTATGCTACCAGATCTAAAATAACTGCTGTGGAGGGCAATGATGAGAGGGAATGGGCACAGGTGACAGGTAGCCTGCCACCCACATCACCCTGCTCTCTGCATGCAGGACTTCAGCTGTTGGTGTGGGCCAGGTAACCCATCAGTAACAGCCTGAATGGAGCAAGGGGAGGAGCAGCCAGGCACTGAACCTGCGTCCCTGCACACGCTTTGCTGGTAACTGTCCTGTGGCCCTGTCAGAAAAGGGAGCAGCAGTGACTGGGCACCTATAAGAAGCCAGGTGAAACGGTCCTGCCCCTCAAGCAAGAACTGTGCAGAGCACAGGCTGCAGTTAGGGGAGCTGTACTTTATGTTTGTATAGCAGCCATAAGAGCTGCCCATAGGACTGGCCAGACCCTCCCACCTAGAGAGTATGGGGAAGGCTGGTTGTTACTGAGTGCTGTTATTTGGAGCCTGTTCTTCTGCATCTGCTCTTTAACAAGGAGGCTGCACTACAGAGAGGGCTGGAACAAGAAATGTGAGTGTTGGAGTTTTGCAATGGGTGGCTGGGGGTGATGGTGTGCTCCCCCAACAAGGCTGAGCAGCGGGAAGGTTGCAGACTGTTTCCTGACTGTCTTAGGGTAGGCTGCAGGATGAAGGGTGAGCAGATAGCTCTTTAAAGTCTTGAAAGCAGCAAGAATTGGTGCTGTTTGCTGCAGTCCCGCATGTTAGTCCATAGATCTTCCCCCCCCAGCTGGATACAGAGCCATCCTAATAACTTATAGTTAAAATGCTAGCATAGATCTTGGTAAAATGGCTTGCCTTAATGTTGGTGTAGCTGTGGAGGGATGAAGATTTCTCATGCCTTGGTGTCCTGCACAGTGTTTCATACACCAATCTCTGGTTTAAAATGCAGATCTCCTTTCTGATTTGAATGTTACTGACTTCAGCCCCCAGCTGCTGGCTCCTGCATCCCCCCAGTCTGCTAGACTAATGGTGGTTTTCCTCTCTGCTTCTTAAAGCTCTCGTGGGCGCACGCGGAAATCTCATCGCCATCGCCACCGCCACTGCCACTCTCGCTCAGAGAGCTCCGACTCCCACTCCCCCAGCTGCCGAAGCAGGTAATGTCACCAATCCCTGAGCTGAGTGTCTTGCAGCACTTCCCAGTGGGCTCAAGGACATGATGCTGTAGTCTGTGTGATCCACAAACTCTCTGTGCAGAGCCACATCCCAGCTATGTCACATACTGGGGGTTGAGCTTCTTGTGGGCTCAGCCATAGAAGGGCTTTGCCTCAAGGAGCCATGGCTGCAGCTTTTCGGTCCAGCAGTCACTTCTAATCCCCGTGGCTGATGATCAGCCCATGACAGCTGATTCCAGCCTAGTCTCCCTTCCCCAGCCCAAGGGCTATGTACTGCTGATGTCCCCAGAAACCCTTAAACATGGTCTTAGTAATGGAAATATATTTGCCCATGGCAATCTATAGCCACTGTCTTTGACCTGATTAAAATCTCTGTCCTGTGGATGACAGATTCATCCTGGGGCTAGCTAAGTGGATGCTGGTGCTAGACCCGGCATCACTGCAATAGAAAGTCACACAGTTTATATACATCATGAGTTCGTGTTTCACGTTTTCTGAAAGCACTTGAACAAACCACCCCCACTCTCCCACTTCACTCCTCCTAGCTACTGGGAATTTTGTTGTGAAAAGCTGATGATCAGTGGGGGTAGGAATGCAATCAGTAATTGGAGGGGTGTTCATGCAAGACCAGAGTGTGTCTTCTCTTGGAGGTTTATTACCACAGTGGCATTCAAGGCTGTGTGAAAGTATTGTTTGCCTTGAGCCACCATAAAATCATGAATTGGAAATAAAATTTGAGGTTAAGGTCCAAAGCCTGAATGCAAAATATTTTTTTTTTAAAGTGGAAAAGCAAAACACTCCTTTTCTCTCCCTCATGACTCCACTGAGCAGTCATGTGGAAGACCTTCCCCCACATACAACGGCCTAGCACAAAGCTGCCAAGGGTTTGTATGGAGCTGGTAACAGGCACTACTGTAATACCAAGGAATAACGGTTTGGCTGTTCATGTCTTCTGGAGGCACAGACCCAGGTCTCGGGAGGAAGGGCGTAAAACACGGCGAAGACACTCCCGGCACCATTCAAAGATCACGGCAAAGCGAAGCTCCTCTGCAGAGGTTCAGGCCAGCCAAAAAGCCAGCCAAACCCTTCCGCTCTACAGCTTCCTGTCTCCTAAGGAAGTAGTAAGTATTATACACTGCGTTTCTTTTCTTGAACTAGCCACAGGAATCTGGGCAAGAAATCTGATATGAAATTTTTATAACTCAATTATAGTGATGTTAGACGAAGTTGGTTAAAACTGTATTATTTATTAATGGTGCTGTTCTCCAATGTATTTAAAGTCATTCCTTCCTTCAGCACTTTCACACCAAGGGTGGGGTTGAAGAGACGAAAAATTTGCAAAGGTTCTAGCCTATGAATAATGAATTGAGGACATTTAACAAAATCCAGTGGCCTCCAGCAATGATATTTTACAGGGAAGTGTTTGTTATGCAGCCTTTGCTCAGCTGGATGTGAACTTAATTCACTGGTGTTCACGTCCAAAAGTTTAGTCCTTCAGGGGAAGAAAGAATCAAACATATATAAAAAACATTTACATTTAATGAGTTGGTGATTATTGGCAAGGGATGTTTTCTGACTATGAGGATCCTTCTCAGATCACTGTTGCTCTGGACTGACAAGCCCAGGGGCCAAATTCGGAACTTATGAGCAGCTCTCATTGATGCTAATGGGAAGTGCATGTGCAGCCGAGGGTAAAATCAGGCTCAGTGCCTTGGGATGTTTTTCCACATACACGGAAAGAGATGATATAATACATGCCTTAGAATTGAGGGAGAAAGAGTTGGAGAGGAATATTAGATAGAGATTGATATGAAGTCTTCCTTTTCCTTTGTTCCCAATAGCTGCAAAGCAGAGGTATGATACTCTTTGATCATGGTGTTAGTATCTGATAGGCATTCTGGAGAGATAAATTGCTACATAGGACTCAAGGTAGTGCAGAATCTGGTACTCGTGTGTGGATGTGTAATGTTGGAGGTGTCTTGAGTACAGAGTCCTCCAAGACCCAAAGTGGTATGTAATGGGGAACTGATTTTCTCCTATAGGCCCAGTCATCCGTTGGAAATAGCTCAGCCATAGGCAGTAGCTACATCAGATATGAGATAGATAGTGCCAGCAAGAGGAGAGACTTTATCCGCTCACCCACACAGACAGCGTTCTTATCAAAATACATAGAGATTATACGTGGGTACAGACAGGCACAAGCTGTCTCTCAACATTATAGATATGCATATTTGCTCTCGTTATATACATCTACTGAGTGTGTAGTGCACATGTGAGTCATTGCTTATAAAACCGTATAAGGTAGAGTGAATAGCAGAACCTGCACACCACACTTAGCTGCGTGCGTGTGTGCGCACATGCAAAGAAAGAATAACAAGGGAGAAAGCTTTTACTGCCATGAACCAGGGGTGTTGCCCTCTGTCAACTTGGGAAGGTAGGAATGAGTTAAGAGCTCCTCTCAAAAAATCAACTAGCCAAAGACTGCATCATGTAACCAGGTTGTCTTTTGGTTCAAGCTGTATATTTTACATAAACATTTTCAAGTCTAAGCCTGGTTTTTAATTGGTACTAGGTTTCCTCTCTCTGAAGCCAGGCTCCCTGAGTCCTGTGAGGCCGACTGCCAGCTGTTCTGTTCCCTGAGCAAGAGTAAACTCTAATTTAAAATTGTAAAAGCTTTAAAATGAACTAAATTCAAGCATGCTGCACTCCCCTTTCCACTTGCTTCACTCTGGGTAAATGAGCACACAAGCTGCAGGGCAAAGAAAATCAGAGCTTTATATTACAGATGCAAGGGATGGATGCAAAGTAAAACTCATCAGACCCTGCTGCATTCTTTCTAGTAAGGGTTAATAACACAGGCAAATATTTCAATCACTAAAAGGCATCAGTACCTTTACTATGCAACCCACTAGTGTCCTTTTGTTCCCAAAAAGAAGAACGCTCTCTTGGGATATCATTCAAAAGGCATTTAAGCACTTGTTTAAATTGAAGCCCCTGGTTAAGTGCTGCCCCTGAAATTTTTCAGAATAAGGTCATTAAATATCACGTAGTCTTAAAACAGGCAAGGGAAAAATGGAATGGGAACTTTCAGTCTCATTTATTAATGACTGTACACAACTCTTTGATGCCTCTCCTTTTTGTGAGGTAAATGGTTGCTCTATAAATACGCTTAGTTCTGTCAGAATCTACTTTGAGAGCAGCCTGGACGTGTTATAAAATGAAAATGTGCTCTTGCAGAAAGTGTTTATCACATATAAAAAAAAAAAACCACAAAACCAAACCAAACCCACCCAAAAAACACAGAAAAGATTTTGTGGAAAATTCCAGAATTGGGATTAAAACCTGCCATGTTTTGGTCCTCTATGTGGGTTGGTGTGCCACACTTCCTACCCTTCCCTCTGGTCCAGGCTCCCGAGCCAAGCCATCCTTACCTGGGGAGATGCACTGTTGTATCTCCAAAGGAAAGGGATTGTCGAGGGAGGATCCCAACTTGCAGAAGAGACCCAGAGAGGCAATACACAAACTCCTGTGAGGTAATGCTACAGTACTTCCAAACCAAAGATTTTGCTTTTTAAGCCAATCTCTATTCTATATTATTTTTCTCCTGAAAATGTGAAGCACTTTGTAGTAAATTCTGCCACCCCCACCCCCCAGGTTTGTTTTCCTTCCTTTCTACTGCAACACCACAATTTCTAACTAGGTCTACCTGTAATTTATGAGGGATAAAACCTACAAGATAATGCCCTGCCCATGCATCTACTTTGCCACTTCTTTCCCTCTTGCCTTTGTACGTAAGTTGATGCATGCACACATTCACTAGTGCACACACACCCCAAGTTCCCTGCTACTTTTTTCTTTTTGGCAGTGAATTTCCAAGCTTCACTCTCTCATTCTCCCTTTAATGCCACGTAGCTGCAATAGCCACCTATTGAGAATAGGATTGTGGGTCTGTGCCTCAGCATGCAGAGAAACTGTGGGTAATATGCAGCGTTTATTTCTGAACAGAATACCCTAAACCCACTGCAGACACTTTATTCCACACTGACACAGATGTATTACATGCCACTGTGCTTTCAGTTGAGCAGTGCAATATAAATACCTGCAGGGTATGAATCTAATTGCCTTTCTTGTACCTGATGAAGATAACTGCACGCTGCATATGCTTTCCTTGCCAGCTCCTTTACTTCCACTGAAACTCATTTACGATGTCACAAATTAACACAGACTTGAGCCAGATTTTTCAGTGAGTCTCGGTGGGGTACAGTTGTTCCAAATGATGCTGTTTATTTTTGTGCTTATGTGTCTGCAAAAGGTAGAAGTGGGGAAATAGCGTGCAAGGGCTGGGACAGCGTGTACAGGAGAGCCCAGGAAACCTTATAGCAGACCTCCATATTGGCTTGCTGTTGCTCACTGTTTTCTAGCCCGGGTTTTGGTTTACACAGGAAAAGCTATTCTTTTAACTGTTAGGCAGCATGTTTCTGACAACAAACAGGGCCTGTTAAGAGCAGAAAGGCAAAGCCTTCCATAGATATGGAAGTTGTTCCTTTTTTTGCTTTTTCTTTTCTCCCCTCCCAGTCAGGAGACAGAGGTTACCCCTGGTTATTGCCCAGTAAATTCACAGCCCAGGGGGACCAGCAGCCTGGGGTGAAGGAGGGATGCGTGCAGCCATTCAAGGGCTGTGCTCTACACCAGGTAGCAAAGGAGGTGGTGGAAGGCAAACCCTTGCTCCCAAGTAGTTCCAGCCTGGCCTGAGCAGAGAGGGGGACACCCTAGTCTGTGTCACATAATACTGGCTGCACCCAGCAGGCTGAAAAGATCTTTGCAAAGGAACAAATCTTTCCCTGTCATTTGCAGGAATTTACCCCAGCATCAGATCTGTGAGACAGGCTGCTCAGCAGTGTTGCCATCCAGCCCCAAATAACCCAAGACCAGACCTTGCAGGGACAGTTGTGCCATTGCCTCTGTGGTCCTAAACTTAGCTTAGCCCTTGTGGTAGAAAAAGCTTCCCTCTGAACTCTCCATTCAGGGGAAAAAAAAAAAAATCATATTTTTCACTCAATATTCCTTGAGTCAGGGATTCATAGTTGTGAAAAAAGGGTTTATGTTGTACTCCTACAGCACTGCTATTTTTTTGGTGCTACATTAATAAGAGGTTGGCTTTTCAGCTGGGCAAATCATCAGCAGAGTTGAAGGTCTCCCCCCGAGCCCCTGCTCTGGAAGAGGGAGGTACCCCTGAGCAGGCACACAGCCCAGTCCCTGAGCAGCCTCTCTCAGCAGGTGCTGCTCCCTGTGCCAGCAGCTTCTCGGCAGATGTCCGCCGGGCCCTTGCTGAGAGCAAGGCTTGCCGGGGTCATTGGCACAAGGTTTTTTTTTTATTCCTTTCATTATCACAATGCACAGAAAAATAGGGAAAGGGAGACATTATGCACCTCTGAAAAGGAAATTAACTCCACTTTGAAGTGAGTTGCAAAACAAGAGAAAAAAGACCCAAGAAAGAAATCCTCCGAGTGCGGCTGTGCCGTGCTGCTTGTTGATGGGTCTCAGTCCCCTTATGGCTGAGAAAATGTATAGTCATCTCCTGCCTCAGGGCTGTTTGCAGCACAGTAAATGGACTTGTTCAGTTTAATTGGAAGACGAGTAGTGATTGTATTTTTGTAACCCATTAGACTGTGCTGCCTCTTGGTCTAGGATTGCACTCCAAATTACAGTCTGGAGTATGAGTGAGAGCCTCATTTCTACTCCCCCTTCATCTTGATTAAATAATGATTTGAAACAAAAAAATCCAATAAATATATATCTTGGTTTCCCTTGAGGGCAGCAGTAGGTCCCCTGCTGAAAGCTGGAGGAAGCAAAGTTCACTGAGATTATTTAATTACTTATTAGAGAGGGGGGAAGAAAATCCAAATGTTCGCATAGAGAAAATTAGATTCATGAAAGAGCAGGCTCTTATAAGACACCCTGGAAAAATAAAAAGCCATTAGAATTCAATTGCACTCCACACAGTGTTTTCAGATGTGGCACTTTGTTTCCATCTCATGTGGCTGGCATGCCTTTCAGAAGCAGTCAAATGGGACCAGAAGCAAACCCAAAGTCATCAGATGGAGAATTTGTCTGAGCAGACAGGCAAGTTGAGCACCTTGAGACTTGTCCTGCCTCTGGCTGCAGGACAGAAATCTCTCCCAGAGCCCATGGCACGCTACTGGCTACAGCCTGGTGCCCTGAGGTAGTCAGGGCTGGGAAGCTGCTGTGTGTCCCCATGGCACCTGCCTTGCCCCAGCCAGACCCTCCAGCTCTCTCAAGGACAGTGGGCTCTGTATTTCACCAATATCCACATGTTGCCTCTTCCCAGAGTGCTGCTACCACAGATGTTGAGCTACAGAGAAGCTTGTTGATCTCCTGGTCATTTGAAAGATTTTGGTGATGAGCTGACAAGTTTCTACTTTGAAGGTAGACATCAGCAAAGGCAAAGCAAAAGTATGCACCCCAGGTCCCAGCAGCAGTCTTAAAAGCTGTTTCAAAATGCCAAGACACTGCTGTATCTCTTGGCAAAAATAAAAGCCTTTTGGTTTAGACTGGGGAAAAGAAGCAAAGTGTTTGTGTGATGCTGGGGTCAGTGTCCCTCAGAGCAGCCCCATGCCTACTCCAGGCCTTTCCTACATCTGTAGCCCGGGAGTATCTCATGTACTGGTTTTATGCCTGTCAATGAAAGGTGGTCAAAAGCTGGTTGACTCTTGATTAAGGTTCAGATCTAATGCAAACAATAATCCACCTTTTAAAAAAATATCTGGTGCCATATTTGAAAGAGCAATCCTGTATCTTCTGGGATGTGGTGGGGAGAGTGCAGTGGTTCATAGCAAGGAGGCAGTTCTTTTAGGGCTCTCTATGTGGCATAGGGTTTCAGAAAGAACTGGTGAAAACCAGAGCTGGATACCTGCTCTCTTATGCTCCTTTGACATTTCAGTTTCTACCGGAGTAATTAAGGACTGGTAGAGAAGTGCTAGAGCTGAGAAGTAGCAAGAAGCAGTACCAGATGCTGAAATGAGGACTTGCAATCTGTGTCTCCACTCATTCCTAGCTGGGAACATTTAGGAGACATTTCTGCTCTGCCCAGGGCTTCTGCATGGAAGGTGCAAGTTGGCTAGTGAAGAGGGATCACTTCATTTCCCACATCCACTGCTGGGGCTCTCGATGCCGCCGAGTTAGGACTGAGCATGGCTTAGAAGTTAGTATGGGGTGGGCATGGGGGGGTGCCCAGCTCCAGTATGGATTTTCTGGAATGAACTAATTCCTGTCCCTCTGTCCCTTACCCCAGAGGTAGTAATATCTCTCTCTCTAGCAACATAGGGAGTACTTGGAGATCCTGCAACAGCAGGTGTTTTCAGAGCATGAGGATGCTGTGGGCAGTCATCATTCCGCAGACCATGTGCCGAGAGCCGCTCTGTGTGTTGGTAGCTCTGCTCTGGTTTCAGTCGCTGCTGGATCAGCACATGTGTCTGAGTCAGCTGTCCCTGTCCCAGTTAGCACCGCTTGAACTAGGTCGAGAGCAACACCACCACCCCCACCTTGAAGGGACACAGATCAGATGCCAGGGCAGGAGGGTGGATGTGAAGGCACCATGGGATGAAGGAGCTCCATGTGAGCTGAGTCTGTACAGGCTGGGTCTGTACTCCTCTGTGGATGAGAAAGAGCCCTGTCCCTGTGCCAGCCAGCCCAGGGCTAAGCTCTCCCAAGGGACTGGCCCTGGTCCTGCAGTGTGACAACTGACCAAGGTCTCCTCTGTGTGGTTTTCTGGGCTCAGAATACCCCAGATCTGTGAGGGCATGGCCCAGGTCCCCAGTGTAGAGAGCACGGCATAGAGGTGGGGCACTGTGTGCCCTGGAGCACAGCATGGGGATGTGTGCAGGTGTTTGAGGGAGCACAGTTTGCTGGGAACGTGTTGGAGGATGATCCTGAGCGGGAGGGAACCACATCTATGTGTCCGCACTCTAAGGACCCTGGACCAAACCTTATGGGTGGGAATAAGGGGAGCAGAGCATCTGAATGAAAGAGGAGGAGGCCACACGGGAGTGCAGATGTGCTGGGTCCACATTTGGCCCTAATTCTCACCCCATACAAGGGCAGACATTAGTACTAACATAAACCACTCAAATGATGTAAATCCCCTTGGTGGTGCTCAGGGTCCCAGACAACAGCCCTACCCAGGGCAGCCTGTGAGGGTTTGGGGTTCTTGCTGACCCAGCTGGGTTCAGCAACCCACCGAACCCCAGCCAGGGTATGCCTGAACCCCCACACAGAGGCTGGCAGGAGCAGGGCTGCCATCCCCTTCACCATAAGTCTCCAGTGCAGCACGGGGAGGGATGTTTTTCCTCCTCTACTTAATGTTTTTTTACTTCTTCCCCTCACTTGAGTTCCCTTTGTCACTTCCATGAAACCCAAGGGGATTTAGTGCAAGCTGTGACGTTTCAGCACAAGCGATCAGCCTCCAGGAACAGTCTGGCCAGCCTAATTTAAAGCAGAAGGAAACAAAAATGAATAATAAGTGAGACAAGGAAGCAGACAAAAAGCAGTCATGACATTTGCATAGAGGAGGCAAGTGAACAGTTGGCAGTGTGGATTGAAGAGAGGGTTTATGTTTTTTTCATGTAATTTGAGACTCTAATGATGGACTTATGTTGCCCGCTCTTCCTTTTTTCTTACACCTTACCTACTAAAGGAGGAGTTCTTGATGGGTAAGTGGATGCTATCCGCAAGACACCAGGGAATTTATTAGAGGTCACTCAAGTGCATTAGCTATATCTTCTTCAGGGGGAAAAAAAGCACATAAAGAAGTATCTGTATACCTTTTGTTTCCAGAGGGATTTTTCTTTTTTTTCCCCTCCCCCTTCCTTTTTTTTTTTTCTTTTTTTTTTAATTTCAAAGTGATAAACTTGTTTATTTGCCAGTTTTAACTTTGTACAGAAGCCCTTGATTTGATTTTATTTTTCTTTGTTTATTTCAGTGACATTCATTCAGCCTCTTTAAGGAAGCTTTAAAAAGTCACTCTTTTAAGATTTTGTTTCATTTTTGTTTTCTTTCCAAGGATTAAGTAGGTTTTTTATATGTATATGCCCCCCCCCCTTTTTTTTTCTCCCCCTCTTTAAGGTTAAATAAGGGCTTTGTCCTCTGTTATACCTTTATTTTTTTTGTTATTTTGATTCTTTGGTTGCCCGTTTACTTTGTTGAACTCCTTTGTTTAACATGAATCGCATGCTGATACTCTTTGCATGATCTCTAAATCTTCCCGTTATCATAGCAGGGGGAAAAGAAGTTTCTTCTTACTGTGGATTTCTTTCAGGGATATGTGCTTTTGTTTTCTTCGCCTCTTTCTTCTCTTTCTTTCTTTCTTTGTTTCTTTCCTTTCCTTTTGTTTCAGTGCATCATGATGGTAAAATTTCTGGGTTTAATTAAAAAAAAAAAGCAAAGTAAAACCAAAAAACAACCCCCCCCAAACCCGTTCAAACAATGCCAAATGGCTTTTTTGCTTTCAGATCTCTCAGTCAGGGTCTTCTGCTGACCTCTTTACCAAAACAGACAGCCCGCCTGGCACCCTAGCCAGCCAGAATGGAGAGTATCATGAATATGACTCAGGAAACGATACTTCCTCCCCTCCCTCCACTCAAACGAGCTCATCCAGGTCAAAGGACAGCCAGGAGAAAAGAAGTCTAGTCCATGATGGCTTTGGCCATGCCTTCTCGTCCGGGAAGCCCAAACTGGCCAACAGCGATAACAGCTCTGATTCAGGAAATTCCTTCACCAGTTGCTTTTCCCAGACCAAGGGAACAGCTTTGGAAAATCTGTCTCCAGATGCCCAGGGACAAGACCGAAGGTCAGTGATTACCAGTAGCTGCTGCTGGCAGCCAAATACCTGGTACATTGTTGCTCTGTATCTCCTGCCTGCTCGCCAGTTGCAGTGGTGAGCTGGCAGGGAGGTTTTTGTGGTCTGGAGGCAGTTAGATATAAATCAGACCCACGGTCTTGCCAGTCTGGAGTCCAGAACCCAGCAATGACCAATACTGTAACCTGAGGAGGAAGATGAAAACTCAGCCATCACGCCCCTGGGCATCACCTGTGCCGGCTCTTCTGGCATTGATGTGGCTAATGCAGGGTTTGGCCCTGGGTCCAGCTGTGTCCTGAACACATCTCTGCCCAGCTGGGTGTGACCATGTCAAAGGAAAGAATTGCTGGCACTTCTGGGCAAAATCTCAAAGGTGCATCAGGGGCTTGCCATGCTAATTCTCTCTCTCTGTTTACTGTGGGTAAGGGAAGCGGGGTTCATTTTCACTAAAACCATTATAGGCTGTTCTTTCACCTGTCCAATGAGCCAAATCCAGCCTGCCCCTTCCCAGCTCATTCAGGACTGGTCCTGGGTGACAAGGTAGTATCTCCTGCAGATGGGGAGCACAGGGAAGGGCAAGTACTTGGCTGGGTGCAGGATAACGCAGTAGCAGCTCTGTGTGCTGGGGCCACGGGGCATCAGGGCCTGGAGCAGGAGTCAAACGTGCCACAGGTCATCATCAGGAGAGGGAAGTAGATGCAGGTTCCATCACCACCTCCCATTCCTGGAGGTTTGCCAGGTGATGTTGGGGTTGAAGGTGCTGAAGCGTGGTGGCTGGTACCCCAGGCTATGCTCAGGCAGTGGTATTAGAGAGCTCTTCCAGCTCAGGCCCTCGGATCTTAAAGGCTGAAAGTTAGTCAGGATGTGGTCTGGGGGTGGGAGCACTGAATGAGAGAGGAGAGGGAGCCAGGGGAATTGGTGTTAGGAAGAAAAAGCCCTCAATTTTCAGTCATAGGGTAAAATTTTAGTGCTGTATATACTTTCCACATTGTGACACCAGTGGGATAACTCTGCCTTCACATGGGTGGAGCTGGGATTGCAGCTGGGCCTGGCTGTTGGGAGGCTGCATCACTGCTGGGCTCTAACCCCAGTTCATACCCAGGGCACTTATGGAAGCGGAGGAATTCAGGCAGCCCTGTCCAAAGGCAACAGGATGTGCCCACTCAGTGCCCACTCATGCTGTTGCACAGCCAGGCTGGAGCACAAGCCCTTGTCCTGGCTTTCCCTCGCTCCAGCACTTCTCACCTCACTCCCTCCTCAGGACCTGCACTGCTTGCTGGCCTGAGCCAGGCTCTGCCAACCACACACCTCTGGTGTATGGGCCATGGGGCACCACCTGAGACCTCTTCCACAGCCGTTCCCTGGCACAGCCTGGAGGGTGAGCTCCTAGGCTCTGACCCACACACACAGGGTCTCCTGCAACATCAGCCTGGGGAGCCGGGAGGTCTTTTTTCACCCCAGCTAGGGAATGGGAGGATGGGAGTACCTGTTGGCTGGAGCATGGTGCTCCCCTCAGCCAGGGACCAGTCCCAGTTCAGCCACAGCTTCAATGACTGTCCAAATATATGTTCACAGAGGGTGCCTGTCCTTGTGTCTCAGCTGTTCGGAGGAGAAGAAGCAAAACTTCCTCCCGTCCCCAACCGACAGCTCCCCGCTGAGGCCGTGCTCCCGCAGCGAGTCGTACACCAGCACAGGCAGATCTTCCCCCCACTCCAGCCGCTCCCGCTCCTCACACCACAAGGCCTCTCCCAGGTACTCCCGAAGCAGGTCCTGCTCTTCAGGAAAGAGGTAAGGCCAGCTAAAATGGCTGTCTCTGTGAGCCTGGGAAATGTCTAACTCTTGCAGGCTGGCAGGCTCCTTGCAGCAGGAGGTGTAAGAGTTTGGGGGGTGCCTAGGGACCCACATGGCTTGGGGTGAACTGGCCACCCACAGCTGAGCTGAGACCCTGAAATACGGGGCACCTCTTATTCCCCAAGAGGCCAGATTCAGAGGAGTCTGGTACAGCATCACCCTCCAGCACCTCTAACTCATTTATGGTTCTTGCCTATCCCCAGGTCTTCTTCACGTTCCCCCAGCTACTCTTCCAAATCCTGCAAAAAAAGCCCTGAGAGCAGGAGTTCAAGGCCTCGTCGGAGTCCCAGTTACTCCCGCTACAGCCCTAGCAGGTACAGCTGTCTTCTCACGTGATATCTGCTGTCTCATTCTTTCCCACTGCCTCCATCACTTGTTTGGACTCCAGCACACTTGCTGGCTTCTGCCAGCCCCAGACTGCTCCCTCAGCTTCCTCACTGAGTGCTTTAGTCCTCAGCACCAGGGTGAGCGGGAGCAGGGGGACACGGAGTAAGGCATATGGCAGTATGTTACGTTGGCTCTCAGTCCAGTGGAAATTTCTCACCATTTATTGCCCCAGAGCTGGTGCTGGTTGCAGAGGGAAGAGCCCAGAGATGAACCTTTCACTTTTCATGGGAAAAGCAGATTTCCTATAGCCAGGGACTGCCCTGCATTGATTCAGGGGAATTTCACACAAAGCACTTTAGGGGTAGGTTTCTGGGAAGGAGACCTGCTTTATCCCTGGCTCTGAAGCATCATAGAATCTCAGAGACAGAGTATGTGGCAGGTGAAGTGCCTGTTCCTTCGCTCTGAGCTCCTGCGGGAACACACAACGCAGTCGAGAGCACGCAGATGGCTGCTTGGTGGTGTTTGCCAGGGTGTTTGCCTCGTGCGAGTGGGAGATGCCTCATAGGAAAACCCAGGGAGTGCCCCTCTCCGTCGTGCTCGTGTAAATGGTGGGCAGAGCGTTAGGCTCCGGTTGGGTCTCCCCACAGCTTTCATCGCCCAAGGAGCCCGCTACAGCCCTTGTCAGAGAGGGATCTTGTTGCAGGAGGGAAAGACCCCACTTTTCAAGAGTCGTGGCTCTACCAAAGAGTAAGGCCCTGGGAAGTGCCCCTGCTGCGTGGGCAGATGCCAGGTACCCTCGTGGTGGCACTCACACAGCCTTGCAGAGGGAAATACAGTCCAGGCAACTCTGCTCCCTTCACACACCATAGAAAACACACATCTCATAGCTCAGCCTTAGAGATGCCTTTGGGCAGGTATTTCTGGTAACATCTCTGCTGCTGTGAACATTTTGCACCCTTAAACTGTTACATTCCCAGGGTCTGATTCTTGCAGTCTGTGACAATCCCTGTGCTGGTATAGGAGAACATTTCCTGCGTTCAAGGATCAGGCCCTTGACCTGTAACATGTTGCTCTGCAGATGGCATTGAGCAGGGTGTATGAAGTCAGCTACACTCCACAGAAGGGCCTGTGCTGACGTGTATGGGAATTTAACAAAAGAGAAAACCATAGCAACACCAGCACTCCTGACGAGCTGTGTGGAGCCGCACAGCCCTGCAGGGATACCAGGGGCCCTCCACTTACGTGGGGGCTGCTGGCAGAGTTGTTCTCGCCTGCCTGTGCGGCACGGCCAGCAAGAGCAATTTTAGTAGAGATAAGTACAGAGTGTATCCACAGACACAGGTATGTGGAAGCCATCTTAGCTTGGCAGCACAGGACCACCAGGAGACACTGCTGAAACCCCAAACGCAATTAGCAGGTGTCCATCTGTCCAGCCAGTTGAATGTCCCTTTGTCCAGCTCAGTGAGTGTGTGCAGGGCTGGTGCCACTTTGGTTAGAGTGGTCCCTTTTGGAGCTGAGTGTCCTCCGCTCACCTGTGCCTCCACATCCAAAACCTACCCCACAACAACCCAGCAGTGACTGTTTCCAACGCGTGCCTTCCCCAGAGACCGTGAGCGAGAGCACAAGTACAGCTCCAGTGAGAAGGAGTCGCACAGGGAACGTGACCGGCAGCGGCGGCGACGGTCCTATTCGCCCCTGAGGAAACGCAGGAGAGACTCTCCCAGCCACCTCGAAGCTCGGCGCATCACCAGGTAAGGCCATGCAGCCCCATGGTTGGGAGGCAGGCTCAGCTGGCGCTCCCCAGGGGGATGTGGGCTGTCCTTGGGTCCCAGCACTTGCCAGTGGACGTTTCTACAGGAGAAGACCCGTTTCCCAATACTGATGAGCAGGCCCTTCTGCCCCTCCTACAGCATGGGGATTGCCAGCTACAGGCAGAGGGAGGATGGGGCAGGGGGGTCTCATTTACAGGAGCTGAATCCAAAAGGCAGATGAAATCAGAGCAGGGACTCACCCATCACGTGTCAGGAGCATCCCCCACAGGTTTTTGTTTCACCCTCTCCGGTGGTAAATGTCCCACACTGCTGAGAGTCAAATATGGACTCTAACCTTCACACTGAGGGCTCTTTGGGACAAGACCGAGCAGAGCCCAGCCTCAGACTTGGTGCCTGGGACATTCCCCAGGGCTGTGGGAGTGGGTGGTTTGAATCCCAAGGCCTGTCAGCAACCAGATCTCTTTTTTTCTTTTAAACAGTCACGTTTTGAGGGAGTGTGTGCAGAGTAAACAGTGCTTTGTGGAGATTTTGGCCGTAAATCTGCCCTTGTGTTGCTGGTAACCCGTGTCTCTCTGTCCCCACAGCGCCCGCAAACGCCCCATCCCCTACTACCGCCCCAGTCCCTCCTCCTCCAGCAGCGCCAGCAGCTACTCCTCCTGGTACAGCAGCTTCAGCCGCTCCCCGAGGAGGGCAGGAGCCGCAGTCGGAGTTCGGGCCCCAGGAGCAGCCGCAGCAGGAGCAGGAGCTCTGACTCAGGAGGCAGCTCCGACAGCCTGCGGCGCTAGGGAGTGCCGCGGACCGGCTCGTGTGCTGGCGTCGCCTCCAAATTCCTGGCATTCTCCGCTTCCTTCCCACCTGCCTGGCCATCGATAGCAATCATCCCCAGTACTGATGTGGTGGCAGTGCCGGGTCCCCCTTCCCCGGTCCGGAGTAGGAGCCCTTGTGCGCCCGGCGCAGCCCCCTCGGCACCTCTCGGGGTGGGTGGATCGGGCCCGGCTCCCCAGGCCAGGGCTGGCAGAGGGCTCGGTGCTTCGCAGAGGCTCTGTCAGACAGGCCTGCTCCATCCTCCCTGACGGCCCCGTCTGCCCATCGCTGCCACTCTCCAAAGCACTACCAGCTGGTCCAAAGGAAAGAATTCAGCTCCTTGCCCTTCTGCCAAACCAGGAAACAGCAAATTAATTTCTGTTGGAGGGAGAGACCCGGTTAGGGAGGAATTTGCTGGGAAGCTTTGGTGATGAGTGGGAGTGACCTGTCCCCACCAAGGCAAATACCAGGTCTCTTGGGTCTCTCCTCCAGAGTTTCTGCCCACTCTGCAGCAAGCCTCTCCCATGAGAGAATATTTATTTATTGCTGGTCAGCCAGTCCCTGCTATAAATAGAAGTCTAGAAATCCCTCCTGACGTAATTCCTGGGAAAAAAAAACCACATTCCCTGTCTTTCTCCTGCCCTTTCCTACCAGGTATGCATCATCTTTTGCCGGGTTGTTTTATCCCCCCCAGCACTGTGACTTGCTTGCAGACAAACTGCTGAGGTCTGAAGTAGATGGGGGACCAGTGGGGTACAAGGGAGAGGGGGGCTGGTGCCACACTGTGTGCTGAGGGTCAGGCCAAGGCGTGGGAGATAGGGGCTGGGGGGTTCCCTTCTCGGAGGAACTATCTGGCAGTTTGGGTTTAGGTTCTTCAGAAGGGAGCCTTGCCCTTGGTGTGCAGTGCTGCTGGGACTGTAAGGAGACACACAGACGGCCTAGCTGTGGGGTGTAGGGACAGCACATGGGTTTTAAAAGCCACTACTTGAGCCAGGGGACCCCCATCACCCTTCCTCATAACAGGCAGCAATTTTTAAGCAGCGCCAGGAGGATTTCAGGAAATCATTTCTCCTTGAGACCCTCAGGATCCCCTGAGGCAGGGTTAGCTGCCTCATCTCAGGGCCTGGATGCCCTCGTGCCCAGTTTGTCACTGGGAGGATGGAGCAGTGCAGGGGGGCAGAAAGGACCCCCCACTAATTGCCTGGTTTTCCAAGAAGCCTCGGGCAGCGGCAGGAGAGCCCTGCCTGCCTGGGCGGCCCTGGGCCCCGGGGTTTTGTCTCCCTGCCAGGCCTGCCAGCCCAGCTGCCTGCGCAATTACTGTGTTTTGCAGGGTAACAAAGGCTTCTCCCAGCACAGGCTGAGCTGGTGCTGAGGAGTTTCTTTCTCTTACAACACCTGGGTGCATAAAGACGCTAATTTGGCTTTAAGACTTCCCTCCCTCCCTTTTTCCATCCCCTCCCCTTCCATCCTGCATGATTATTAACGAGTTTGGGCTTAGTGAGTCAAGGAGGTGTGTCATTTAAGTGTCACAGAAAGGGCTAAGTGGAGCCAGCATCTGGTGGAGGAGGAGAGGGGCTTGAAAGAAATGCAACCCCCCGCCAGCTAAAGAGTTACCTACAGTACCCCATCCCGCTGGCAGCTGTAAAGGGGCAAAGCTGCCAGTGGAGGAGGGCCAAGGGCCATGTGGTGTCTGATGGAGCTGGATGGTCGCCTTAGCAAGCACAGAAACCTGTCCTCTCTTGGAAAGCACAGCAGCATGTGGTGTATTTCCACCCGGGTGGTACAAAGGGAAGTTTTATGCCTGGTGTCCCTTTTTCCCCGTATCCTTCCTACTGCTGGTCCCCCTTGTCCTGTGCCTTCAACCCCCAAAGCCCCCCCTTTTCCCAGCCTCTCATCCCCCGCCTTGCTCTCTGCAGGTAATGTGAGGATGAAGGTGGCCAAGGCAGAGCGCTGGGCACTGGTGTGGTCAGTGGCTTGGTGGGGACATGAGTCTGTCTCCTGGGAGGCTGCTTTGGAGGACACAGAGAAAAGTGTTCCTGGTAGGGCTGAGCAAATGCTCTAGGGCTGTGCTTGAGGGATCAAAGCCCTGGAGGGCCACTGCTTCCTCTGCTGTGCTGGCCCTGGCAGCAGCCCCTTGGCCATCTTCTGCAGTGACCTCCCTTTCTTGTAAAGGGCTGAAAACCTCACGCTTCTTCCCCAAAGAGTCTCTCCCAGTCTGATACTGAAACGCCCCATCCTTCTGCTCCCCGAGAAGACCCCAAGGCAGTGATGGGAGCCCAAACCCCAGACCTACCACTTCAAATGTAGCCTCGTGCTACTTAACACCCCCTAACGCACACATGCATCTGTAGCAAGGAAACAGCAAGTCAGGAGGTGAAAAACTAGGAAAGAAAAGAAAAGAGGGGCTTCGTGCAACTGGTGTAAATCTCAAACACAACACTGACTTGAGTTCCTCGTGTCTGGGGATGGATGGTTGAAGCACCACATCAGGGTCAGCAGCACTAACCGACCGTGGGACTGGGGATGACTCTGCGGGGCTGACAGCAGCAGCTCGCGGACCTGTCCGGCTGATCCTGTTTCAAGGACTGCCTCTGCTTGGACAGTCCGTGGCAGCTAAACGCTCCTGGGGATTCCCGAGCAGACTTGCATTGGAGTAAACCTTGTAATTTATTTATTTATTTATTTATTATTATTGTTATTCTATTTTTAATTCTATGTCAGAATGGATGCAGGTGGTCACTGTTACCAGTATTTATTTATTATCTTTTTTTTTTTTTTCCCAAACAATAAGTTATTTTTGGATCTATTTGTTTGTTTGAATGTATCCATGCCATTGTTCTTGTGTAAAGGTTTACAGCGCTGGCCCCTCTCGATGAGGTGGCTGGAGGAGTGACGGTCGCTCCTGCAGCCAACGTGTCCCTTTGTCTGTGCTCTCTGGAGCAGGGCGGAGAACGTGTGATGGACAGAGGCATGCAGGGCAGAGCTGTCTGTGTTCCCATATTAAAATCCAGGGTTTCTCATTAGATTTGTGCAGGAATGCAATGGATGTGACCACAGAAATGGGCCTAGGACCTCACGGAGGTGACAGCGAGGGTCTTCTCGCCAACGAGCTGAGCAGCAGGGCGTTTGTGGTGCTGCAAGGGGAAGTCTCCTCCCGGCCCGTGCTCGCGCCGGCCGGGTGCCAGCTGGCCACTGCTGCTGTTTCCCTTGGCTCCGCAGCCAGCGCACAACCCGAAACTGAGCTGCTCTGCACAGGCACCGCTGGTTTCCCTGGGAGGATGCCGTCGCTAGGACTCCCCTGCCGTGTTTACCGCTGCGCAATGACCCACCCATGGAAAAACTAAAGAAACGAGACTGTGAGAGTGTGATCCGTGCTGAAGATGCTTGCAAAATCCAGCCTCTGGTGACAGGACCTAACCAAGATTGTGTGTGTACGTGTACATGTGCACATGTGCATATACGTTTTCCTCAGTGGTGGTATTTATTTTTTAACTTATTTAAAATTTTTAGTACAACCTGGAACATCACCCTCCCTGTCAGTGGACAGCTGGGTTTTCCGTTGGTTTGTGTGAAGCCCGTGAGCTTTTCTGTCTCTGTGCCTTTTGCCAGTGCTTTTTTTTTAAGGTTGTTTCACTTGTTATTGCTTTTATGGATTGTTTTCTCTGCATCCAGTGTCTCAGGTTGCTGCTGGTGCTTTCTGCAAAGAGCAGCATTCACCTGTGGAAAGGCAACTTGGTCATTTTGGTGTTGGTGAGTCGCTGCTCACCTGTGGTCAGCTGCACGAGGGATGCCCAGGGCCAGCCGCAGCCTCGAGGCTTCAGGAAAATCTCTCAGCCATTTTTTGGAAGCCCTATCTCAGCAGGTTTTGCTTTCCGTAAACACAGAGGCTCTTTCCCACCCACGAGTTTGTTTTCATCCCACAAGTGCCCCAGTTTCCTTCCCCTGGCAGAGCACACATCACAACACCCACTCCCAAATGTCCCCAACCCCAGAGTCGTGCTGTCACCTCTCCCCACTCCCTGGACCTGCCTTGGCTCTGGGTTTGTCACACCAAGAGAGGCTCATCCCACCTCTCCCAACCCCAGCTAGGCTCCAGAAAACCCAACACAATCTCTGCAGGTTTGCTGAAGATAAGGGATATTTTAAAGCACTGTTTTGTTACTTCTTTTCTTCATGGGTTACAGCACTCAGCTGAGCATTTCTTTATGTTGACTGCAACTTTTCTCAATGTTTTTGTTGTTTTGGGGGACTGAATTTGGACCAAATGTCTGCAACAGCCAATCACTGTTATTTTGCTATGCATTGTACATATATTGAACAGGCTGAGAGGATTTAGCTTCTATTTAATATTTATTTCTTCTATTTATTGAGCATTACTTAAAAAAAGATATTGGGTCTTGCCGTTGGGTCCACAAAGGTAGGAGCCTTTGAGGTGTTGCCATGTTCTCATGTTCCAATGTTCTCATTGGAGAGAGGTTATCAGAGAGGTGAATTACTGAGGCTGTCACCTGCTGGCATGGAGGCATCTGGCAGACAAATTAGGCTCATTTAGAGCTCAACCCCCAGCGATTTAGGGAGGAACCTCATTTAGATGGAGATGAGCAAGGCAGGGGAAAATCCTCCATCTTCTTGGACCAGCCTCTATTGACAAATTACAACCCCCTGGAAAGGTGCTGGGTGTTCAGAGGCAACAGACCAGCTGTGGCAGAGGAATAACCCTACTCTTCCTCCTCCACGCCACGTAGGTAGAGCTCCTTAGATTGTCAAGAGATCCCCAGAGATCTCTGATCTCCCACCACTCACCCCATCTCGGCTCTCTAGTTACTGGGGAAAGGGGGGACTTGTCACCCTTTCATTGATGTGAGGAGAGGGATAGGGTTGAAGTGACTTGCTGTGGTCTCTGCCAGGAAGCAAGGATGTCCACCCTGCCCCATCCTGAGACCCTCATCCTCGTGCCATGTCCTACTTTGCCCCCTTCCCTGAGCTTTGTGCCAGAACGAGTAGCTTTGCCCAGGCGTGAGCTCAGGAAAGGTGGCCAGGCCAGGACTGGGGAAGTCTCTCCTGTCCTCTCTGACACAAGCTGGAGCTCACTGCAGGCATCCTCTCCCAGCTTTGAAAAAGCTAAAGTTCACAATCTGTGCCAGTGTCACTCCACCGACACCAGAGCCATGGTCCTCTTCACCTGCAGAGCTGCCTGGGTTGGCAGAGGGTGGATACGGCTCCAGTGTCGGCAGGCGAATGCCCAGTGCGCGGCTGCTCCGCAGAGCTGGCCAGGAGCTGCGCGGTGCTCAGCCTCGGGGCTCTCAGGATATCTGTTTGAGAAAAGGACGGATTCCGGTGCCTAAGTGAAGACTTTGCCCTTTAGTGTCCTGTGGGGTTTTATTACCTCTTTACCAGGGAATGAATAATTCTCATGAGTTTTGCTGCTACCTGGAAGTTTGCACATGACTGGGAGGGTCTCTGAAGCACTGGTACATTCTGCTGTCATAGCAACAGTGTCGTGGTCAAGCATCCCAACTTTTGGGCTGTTGCCTAGAGAACAACACCCTGAACCTCACCAGCCTGGGGGCAGCTGTGCCCCTTCGAAACCCAGGGAATGAAAAGATTGAGTACAAAAGTAAAGATGTGAGAAAAGCTGCGAGGAAAATAGTGTCTCTGTTTTCTCCCCTGTTGGTCAATTCCTTACCACATGGCACCGCTGCATCTGTTCATTTGACTTCACTGTAAAACCCCCTTTGTTCTCCATCAAAATGCATACTGTATTCTTTAGTCTTCCTGGGGTATTTGAGTTGTTAGCCTGGTTAGAAAAAGGGTTCCAATAAAGGTTCAGACAGTATTTCCTTCTCATCGCAGCCCTGTTTGTCATGTTCCTTTTGGATCCGACTGTGCGTGGTGGGATATTTTGGGTTGTTTCAGCTGCTCTGAAGGGAAGGGCATGTGCCTCTTCTCCCAGCTGCCAAGGACTGGCTCCTCAGGGCACTGAAGCAAAAAAAAGTTGTGGGCTAGTATTTCTGGCAGCTCTCCCTTCCCTGCTGGGCCAGGCTTTTGCTGCCCTTTGCCAGGCACTTTGGATCCCCTCGCCCTGTTCAGGCACTGGTAGCCCAAGCCAGAAACGCAGCTGTCCCCCGGTGGAGGTCACTGTTTGGGATCCCTGGTGCTCTCCCCGGGGCTGTGCCCTTCCTTGCCCACACAGCCCTCGTTCCAAGCCGTGCACGATGCTCCCCCACCACAGGGTCCCGCTGCAGTCACCTCCTCAGCAGGAGCTGGGGTACTCCCCCAACTCCCCCATAAGCAACAGGGCAGTGGGGACTCTCCGTCACCCCAGATGATGCCTCTCACCCTGGGGTCCTCCCCTGGACTGGCTGGAAGCCCCACAGGGGAGCAGTAGCACTGCACCAGGCCCCCATGCTGTTCCCAACAGGGCTCAGAGGGGCACCCAGGAAGGGTCTGGCTGCAGCATGGATGGGTCCATGGAGGGGGGAAGCAGGGCAGTGTCTGCAGGTCAGTCGGAGGAGGAGGGAGGCTGCACGGCCACTTCATGCTCCCCAGAACTAATGTTCTGGGGCCAGCTCGGCAGTGAGACACAGCCGGGAGATTTGGAGTGACAACAGGAGCTAAATTGGGATGGCCCAGAGACAGCAAGAGCCGGCGGGAGGGGACGTGTGACTAATCGGGATAAACAAGGCGACAGGGAGGATTCCTAGCCAGGGAGGGAGGGTGGCCTGGAGCTACGCAGGGAATCGTGGGACTGGAGATGTTAGGAGGCTCTTGGAAACATGGCAGGATCATGGGGCACCCCAAAATCTCCTCAGAACTTGTCCCCCTCTCCCCATGGGCTGGTGTTTGCCCGAGTGAGTGCAGAGCTGGGCGTTGAGGTGATCCTGCTCCCCAGCCAAGGCGAGAGGTGCCCAGCTGAGCTCAGGCTCAGTGTGTGGCGATGTCCCCCACAACACCCTGCTGTCATCCCTGGGCAGCAGGAGCCCCCAGCCTGGCAGGGGCAGCTGGGCAGGACAAGATGATGGAGGGGGATGCTCTGCCTCTCCACTGGCAGCTGCCTCCTTGCACCCAGGGGTGCTCAGCCGGCACCTGGGACCTCCCCAGGCATCTCCAGGCATCCCCCTCAGTCCCCAGGGAGACCCTCGTGATGGCTGACTGTCCCCACACATGGTGGGGGTGAAGGAGCTGAGCACAGGGGAGCAGCCCTACCCCACACCATGAGAGGCTGCTCCCTCCCCCAGCGATGCCGCGTCGGTGCAGCATGATTAATGCCCTTGGAGTGACCAGCAGCTGAATTGCTGCACGGCCTGCGCTGCATTAAAGTCTTCCTGCTGTAATTAGTTCCATCAAGTCTATTAGAAAAATTGCAGATGCTAGAGAGAAGGAGCATGAGGCAGAGACAGGAGGGAGGATGCAGCATGAGGAAGTCATCCTGTATCTAGCATGACCCTAGCTGATGACATCCCATCCTCCAGCACATCCCATCGCCCACCAGAGCCGTGCCTGGACCACCTCCATGGGGAGCCCCTTGTCCCCAACAGGTACCCCCTGCTTGCATGGTCGGGGCCTTGTTGCCGGGTGGATGCTGGCCGGGAGCTCACCCGCCACTGCCGCCGCGCCTCTTCCCACGGCGCACTGCCCGCTCCCCGCTGCTGCCCTGTAATTAGCCCCGCCGCAGCGCGGCTGTGATTAACACCTCGCCCTGCCCGTGCACGGCGATTGCGGCAGGGCCGGGGCATGTGGTGGGGCGAGGAGGAGGAGGGCGAGGAGGAGGCAGGTGTTGAGCAGCGCTGTGAGGACCCTGCCCGTCTGCTGCCCGGGGTCCCTCTCCCTTTCTTGCGGTTAGGGGTCATTTCTCGGGGCCTGCCTGGTGAAGGCAGCCGAGGAAGCAGAGCTGGAGCACGGCTTTCCTCCTGCATCCCGCAGGACCCCTCGCACCCGGGCTCTGTGGGCAGTGCTGCATGCTCCTGGCCACAAAAGGGGTCCATCCCCTGCCCCAGCATCCCTCAAACACCCACCTGTGGGGTCCCACCGCCCTCACAGCGCTGCGCTAGGTGTGCCACCGATGACCCATTTCCCAGTACGGCGGGCTGCTCGGTGGCGTGGGGACACGTGGCTTTACAGTGCAGGGAGCAGCATGGCCCAGCCCCACTGAGGGGGTATTTTTAACAGGTGACTCTGGGGTGAAAGCAGCCGGCCCTGAGCTTGGGGGCTATTTTGGGCAGGTGGGCTGGGTGCAGGGTGGCGGGAGGGGGTGGCGGAGCCAGGGCAGCTGCTGAAGTGCCGTGGCCTCACAGCAGCCAGGATCCTCAGGCCGGAGAGAGAGGTCAGCTGCCACAGCCCAGATTCTCCACGGCTGTTTCATCCTCTCCAAAATACTTGGCTGACAGGGCAGGAATTGCAAAACACACCCCCCCCTCCCAAATCCGTATAAATAGCGCTCGCCCGGCGGCTGGAAGGTTAGAGAAGTTTCTCGGCTCCAAGCTCAGGCATTTATTGCAGCTCTCGCCCAGGAACGGCAGGGAAAGTCGCACATAAAGTGCTGAGGAGCGAGAGGGGAGAGATAAGCTTTTTAATCTTGGGATATTTGGTTTATTTTTTTTTTCCCTCTCCTGACAAGAAGTTTTATTTTCCTCTCCCTGGTCCCTGGGATCGCAGCCAGACAGGAAGCATTTTCTCACGGCCAGAGAGCTCCCTCCGTCCTTCCTGCGCTCCTCCAGCTCCCAGTGATTCAGCCCTGAATTGATTTTCTCCGTCGTCCTTCACCTGGTGCCGGGGAAGGAGGGGACTGTCCCCGCAGCGCCCACCTGCGTGCCCGCGTCCTGCCCGGGGTGGATGCGTCTCCTCCGGGACGGGCTCTCTCAGCAAGTTCGCAGCCAGGAGCGGCCGCGCAGAGGCTGAGGCTCCGTGGGAGAGCCCCGTGGACACACTTGGACCCCTCTGAAGGAAGCCATGGCCGACAGCCAGATGCCCTTCTCCTGCCATTACCCCGGCAGGCGCAGCGTCCGCGACCCTTTCCGGGAGCCTGGCTTGACCTCACGCCTGCTGGACGATGATTTTGGGATGTCACCCTTCCCTGGGGACCTGACGGCAGACTGGCCCGACTGGGCTCGGCCACGGCTCACCACCACCTGGCCGGGTCCCCTGCGCACCGGCATGGCCCGCGCCTCCACCATGGGGCCCGGCTACGGTGCCCGCTTCGGGGGGTACCCTGAGAGCCGCAGCCCCGTGCCCTTTCCCCGCGAGCCCTGGAAGGTGTGCGTCAACGTGCACAGCTTCAAACCCGAGGAGCTGACGGTCAAAACCAAGGATGGCTACGTCGAGGTGTCAGGTGAGAGTGAAGGCACCGGGGAGGAGGAGGATGGGGCATGAAAAGGAGCTGGTCCTGCCCTGCCTGTGCCAGCTCAAGAAGTTGCCATAAAATGAAAAATCATCTTTATTTTAAGCCAGTGGTGGTAGCTCTGTGCTCAGGAGCAGGCCCAGGCTGAGGCAGGGCTTGGGGCAGCCCCATGGGCAGTTCAGGGGTGCCATGGGGGGACCCAGCTCACAAGCTGGTGGTTTACTGCAAAAATAAAAAGGACAAGTCTCCTTTGAGGTAAATCTCCCCGCTTTCTGCCCTGGCTGGCCAGGGAGGCGCAGCTGCAGGCAGCGGCACCCTGCAGTGAGCTGCTGAGAGGGGCCCCAGCTTGGCTCGGTTAATTATAGCTGGGGTGAGGCCGGCGCAGAGGGAGGTTCCCTTTAAAGGGGCCGAGAGAGGCACCTCCAGTGCTGGGAAGTGGGGGGCAGCTGCCCCATGGCCTCCACCCCAGGCCCAAGAGGCCCCAGCCTGGAGACAAGCCAGCCAGAAGCATTTCCCTAATAATTCAGTTCATGGTGGGGACAGTGGGTGCGGGGTGCACCACATCTGGGGTGTCCGTGGGCACCTTGTCCTGAGCATCTCATCAGCCTGGCACTGACATTCCGCATTGTCCTCAAGTGCCCCAGGCCAGGGTCCCCAAGGTGGGCTGGGGGCTGCCACACAGCATGGCCCTGGGTATTTATTTGGGGCGCACGGCATCACAGAGGGAAAACCACAGGTGAGGGGGGTCTGGGCAGCCACTGGTGTGATTTTAGCCTCAGAGATGCTCCAGGCACAGGGATCCCCAGCCTGACAGTATGGTGGAGGGGACCCCAGCCTGGTGAGCAGGACAAGGAGGGACACTGCCACCTCCAAGGGTTTTATTATGTCTTGGAAATTTTTTCCGAAGCCCCAGCTCTTGGCAGCCTGCGAGACCCCAGGCTCTCACTGGGAATATGGGTGTGCTCTGTCCGGCGCCTCCTTCCCTACATAGAGGAGGCTCCCAGAGCCCTCCTCAGAGGGAAGGATTTGTGCTGGGGAAGGGAAACCACTCCTCTGAAAACTTTCCTTTTGGGTTTTGTTGGTTGTCTGTTGGGGAAAAAAGTAATCTCCCAGTGAGGTGGTGACATGGGGTGTTGCCCTTCCCTGCAGGCAAACACGAGGAGCAGCAGGTGGAAGGAGGGATCGTCTCCAAGAACTTCACCAAGAAAATCCAGTAGGTACCAGCCAGCCCTGGGGTGTCCCCATGCCAAAGGGGCTGGGGCATGGGGGAGGCTGCCACATCCCCTTGACCAGCACCTAAATGTCGCTGCCTGCTGTGGGACCCTGTCCCTGCGGTGCAGGCAGGTCACAGGCAGCACGGGGATGGCACTGGGGCCGAGCTTTGCCAGTCCCCGTGTCCCGGCTCACACATGCAGGGACTCCTGCACCTGTTTTCACCCCAAAATCTGCTCTTTTGCAGCATGTGCGTGGCTGGTTCAGGCCACACTGTGATTTCCCAAGGGAGGTAAAAGA